GAGCCCCGCCCTGGGGACTCCCCCCGCGCAGGGATACAGGGGGCGGGGCTGCTCCTCACGGAGACCCCACCGCACCGCACCTCACGGCCGTTGCAAGGGCCGTTGGGGTGGGGGGGGATCGCGCGCTTAGAATAAGGGAAGGGGAGTCACGTGGGGTGGAGCCTCGCGCCCCCTTCACCCGCCTAGTCAGCGCGGGCGCGCGCGCCGCTCTAACGGCCGAGTTCTCCGCAGCCTCGGGCCCAGCGCGGGAAACGCTCCGGCCACGCCCCGCACGAGGAGCCCGCCCGCCAACACTGCGCAGGCGCGGAACCGCTTCCCATTCCTTCCCAGCGGCCTAGCCCCGCCTCCTCCCAGCCCGCCCACTCCCGCCGGCCCGGCCCCAACCCCTGAGCGGAGACCACGCCCCCGCCGGCCTCTGACGCGCCCCCCGCCCTCGGGGGAGAAGCCCCGCCTCTCCAGCCAGCTGTGCCCCCAAAAGCCCCACCCCTTCCCCAGGCTCCGCCCCCTGGCAGCTTAGACCCCGCCCCTCAGAGGGTTCCTTGTGAGATAAGCTCCACCCCTTCGCAGATGAGACCCTGCCCCAGAGGAGATAAGCCCCACCCCTTCCCTGACTTCTTTCCTCCCCCCATCTCACAGGAGCCTCCCCCACCCTAGAGGGGGCTGCATCTCTGTGCTGGGCGTGGGGTCCTCCTGCCTCCACACCCCACCCTAAAGGGGCCACGTCCCAGCGGTGGGTCCCCCCGTGAACAGCACCTGCGCCCCACCCCAGAGTAAGCTGCTACCAGAATGAGAGTCAATAAATTAAATGTTTTATTGTGCGATATAAAATGAAATTAAAAAAAAAAAAGACAAAAACCAACACGGAGAAAGTCATCCAAACTTGTTAAAAAGAGGTTCGTTCCCTTAAAAAGCCAGATCAGCGTCTACTGTACATTGTGCTACAAAACCCCTCGTGCCAGGCCCGGGAAAGTCACCCCACGCCCAGCCCGGGGACGCTGCCCCCATGCCAAAGGGGAGCGGCCTGGCTACCCCAGGCCCGGCCCCCCCAACAGGGGCGCTGCGGGGAGCGGGCCAGGAGCTCCCACCCCACTCCCTGCCCTGCTGTAGGGCGGATACTGGGGGGGGGTAGCAAGACCGAGACCCGCTGGGGCTGCTCAGAGCTGGGACCGCAGGGCAGAGCGAGCGGGGGTGAGGGTAAAAGATGTGTATGTTCTGGAAAGAGTAGGAAATAAATCAGTCCTGCCCCCGCTGCCCACCCTATAAAAGATTAACCTGGCCGTTGCCTCATTAAAAAAGAGCCCCCCAAATAAATACACCCTGTAAAAAAAAAAAAAAAACCATAAAAAAATAAAAGCTCTGTGTGGGGCCCGTGCCCTGCCCCCCCCGGGTACATTCGTCCATGCTCGGCCTGGGGCCTAACTAACCTAGCCCCCCTCCCTCCCCTTGGCAATTTCCCCTGGGGGGGGCTGGATAAACCTCACCTCCTAGCCCCCCCAAACCCTCCCCTCCATCCCTCCTCCCCTAATGCTACTTTCCATCTCGCTCTCCACCCCCGACCCCCCCCCAGTTCCCCAGGCTGGGGGAGCCCCTGGAAGAGACGAGTCCCCCCCCAGCTGCACCCCGAGTGAGGGATCCCCATACATTCGTGGCGCCCGGGGAGTTACTGCCCCAGCAGGGGCAGTGCCAGGGCAGGAAGCAGCAGGAGGGGAAGGGCAGGGCCCCCCCAGGAGGCAGCATGGCTGCTGCTGCCCCCCATGCGGTGGTTCTGCCTGGAGCCCTTGCTGGGCCGGTCCTTGCGGTGCGAACGGGAGTCGGGGGGGCGGGACCCCGAGTGGCTGCTGCCGCCGCCCCCTCCAGCCGGCCAGTCCTCGCTGTACCGCTCGCCCCCTCCCGAGCCACTGCCATCCTCATCTGCAACCAAAGCAAAGGAGGGGGGCGTTAACGACATGGGGGCCCCCCAGCCACGCCTCCCGAGGGGGGTTGCAAGGGCCTGGAGAGGGTGTTTATTGGGGGACACCAACCCCCCCTCCCAGCCCTGGACCCCAGGAGAACAGATGACGAGGCACTCGCCGCCCGGGTCCCACCCCCATCACCCATGCGAGCGGGGGGCCAGGAGCAGAGCCCCTCCAGGGAATGCCCCAGCAGCCCCCCCAGCCCCCAGGGGAGCCCCCACCCGCCTCCCAGACTCACAGGTGTCCTGGAAGTCGAGGTCCCGGCCCCCGTAGGCCCCCTGCAGGCGGCTGGTGGCCACCCGCAGCTGCAGGATGTGCTGACGAGTGAGCAGGTCGGGCCGCCCGATGTCCACCTCCACCTCCGGGTTATTGATCTGATTCACCAGCCCGTCCCCCGTCACATCCGGGAGGTACCTGGGGGGGAGGGGGGGTTCAGAGACAGCTCCACTCCCAGCCGGAGGGGGGGCGGCAGGGGCACCAGCTGTGGGGGGACGCTCCCGGCACCCCAAGCCCTGGCCTCTCCGAGAAGGGAGCGCCGTGGGGCAGGAGCGCTGCCTGTGGGGGAAGCTCCCCCGGTCCTCCCTCATTTTGCCCAGCCAAGCCTGCCCCGGGCGCCCCCTCACCTGCCCCGGGCCTGCCCGTTCCAGCACTTGTCCTCGTCCGTCACGTCAGCCGCCACCTTCCCGTCGCTGCAGAGCGTGTGGGGCAGGGTGACCCAGAACCCCCGCATCAGCCGCAGCTTCTCCTTCACGTCTGTCACCTGGGGGGAAGGGGAGGCGGATGGGATCAGTGCCCACGGGCCAGCTCCCCAGGGTGGGCTGGGGGACATGAGCCCCTACACCCCACCCCGGGGGGGAGTTTTCTGTAATATGCCTCTGAAGCCTGTGCATCCCTCAGTTTCCCTCCGCGCAGGTGTGAAAGGGTTAAGCCTGCTCTTGGGGTGAGTGCCAGTGGCCCCATCTCAAAGGAGAACCCCACAGAGGCGACGGTGACCCCAGGGGACCCCCCAGAGGATGGAGACTGTCCCCCGCCTCTCGGCAGTCTGGGCCCCAGCCCCAAAACCCCACGATAGCAGTCAGCTCTGTGTTTTCAGGGAACCAGGGTGCAGTGTCCAGCCTGTCTGACTCATGAGGGACACCCCCCCGCCCCTCCTTGAACCAAAACCAACCAGAGAAAAGGTTTGCAGACAGCAGTGAAGGGCGGATGGGAGACGCACCTATACCTCTCCTGACAAGGGTGACAAGTTTAAGACATCCCCATTTTCAAACAGAATGGAGAGCAGAGACAACTCCCAATGCCTAATCTGCATGAAATGGGACAGGGATTAGCATAAATAAAGAACAGAGAACCGCAGGAAACTCTGGGACCAGAAAAGCAGGGACGCACTGCATTATGGGAATTTCTGCTCCAGATGTTAATGGACCTACTCCTGCCCACACCCAGCTCAAGAATTATCAGACCAATTCTAGTAATGAATCCTTGATTAATATCCAAAACTCTGCAGCAGCCTAGTTGCATTGGGAGCTCCCTGGGAAAAAACACCACCCATAGCCAAGAGTGATCAGCTCCTAGCCTCTAGCCTAAAGAAAACCCTGGCGTCATCAGTTTACCCATAAACAAACCAAGTGTTCTCCCTTGAACCATTGTTGTTTCCCTACAAAAACCCCTACCTGTGCCCAAGTCAGGGTTCTGATGCTTAGATCCAAGCTCTGCATCAGTTCCACTGGGACTCCATCTTCTCCTGACGGATCGTGCTGGGGGCTCTGCCGGTCTCCCTGAGCTACCACCATCACCTTGGAACCCCAACCAGTTCAAGCCTCATGGAGTGGGTAAAACCCCCCTTCTTTCTCTCTCTCTCTTTTCCTTTCTATCTTAGGCATTAACCTTGAATAATGTATGTTACGTTGGTTTAGCTCTCCTTGTGTAGTGATCACTAGTATTCAATAAATAACTTTGTCGTAGAAATTCCTGTCCAACTTGTAGGGTTAAGCTGGTTGCTTCCCTCTCTCTGGCTGAACTTTACTCTTTTGTGATTTTAGCTTCCCCCATATACTCTACAGCAACACTTTTTTTACCTAAGC